GTTTATGGGGCTCTTATCCGTATCTGTCTCGGCTTCAACTAACTTCCCCAAGTGTGTACCTGCAGCTAGTCTGACCTCATTAGGTGTTGGGTTAAGGATGCGTACAGGGATGTTTTCGGTCATGTTTACAAGCACAGATCCTGTGTGAGCTCAATTCTTCAGGGATGCAGGATCCAGCACACCAACCAGCTCGTTGTCAGGTTTGTCCAAACAACCTGTGACTATTGTTTCACTCATTGGGGCAAGTGTGGTTGCTGAACTGACACTTACTCTTGCTATATGTACTTGATCTGAAGTATTAGTATTCCCCAGGACAAGTTCCCCTTTCACTAATAAATCCCCCTGTCTTGCTAAGACTACAGCATCAACAGCCATCAATAAATCCATTCCAATTAGAACATCATCACGGATTGGAGCATTGCACACTTTCCAATTGGTTGTTGACTTGCCCAAGTTAATGCGTACACTGACATTATTTACTGCTATCATCTTATTGCCAGTTTCTGCATTAAGAAGTGTGACCTTGTCAGAGCAAGAATAATTCAAATCTACTTTTTCAACAAAGTCTTGAGATAGAACTGTAATTTCTGCACCAGTATCAATAACTGCTTTTGTTTTATGACTGTTAATTTGAACTGGGACTCTGATTGATGATCCCCCTTCCTCTTTTCCAATTTTGAGCATCTTTTTTTCATCGTCATTCTCAACTGATGCGTCAGCTTTTCTATCTGGTGAGCGTGATGGTGATCTGGGGCAATTTCTCTGAAAATGGTTTGTATCACCACACTTATAACAACCTCTTTGAGGAGATGGTGATCTTTGTGATGATTTGGTCAATGCTTCTTTTCTCTCTATTAACTTTTTTAGTTCCATGATCTCTTCCTTCAATGTTTTCTCTCCAGATGCAGCAGTTGACAATGCTCTAACTTGTTCACCAGAATCCCCTTCTTCTCGTCTGTCTGTATGCAAGTCATCATACCAGGATACTCTCCTAGAATAGCGACGGTGCTGGGAATCTTCACGGCCTAATGTAGCCCTGTAATTGTGCTGAAGTTGTATAACAATATCCAGTGCTGCTGTAATAGTTTTAGGCATTTTATTCAGGGCCTCGTATCCTATCCTTGGATTTTTATATCCTTTTAAAAAGGATTCGGCTGCAATTTCCTCTTGAAGTTCAATGCTCACTGACGGGAATGCTCTGGAAACCAAGCGTCTGACTTGTTCAGCAAATTCGTCATCTGACTCTGATTTTTGCCTGATTTCCTCCAATCGCTTTCTTGCAGTGGTTGGAGGGTCTTTTCTATTAAAGCGATCTTCCATGTGCTTGAGTAATCTAGCATAATCATTCTGAACTGAAGATGGCAGGCTACATAAAAATTTGGATGCCTGGCCTCTTAAGCACTCAATGAAACGGTCCAGTTTCTCTTCTGCTGACCAGCCATAACGTTGAGCTGCTCTGTGGAAAGGAACTAAAAATCCTTCCCATTCTCCACTACCATCAAATGTTGGTAATTTTTGTCGAGGCAAATATTCTTGCCTTCCTTGTCCTACAGAAGCTGGGTAACGGCTTGTCTCAAAATTGCTAATAGTGTCCAATACTGGCTGAAATGGCACACCACTTGAACCAGGTACAGGAGTAGAGGTAGTTGGCCTTAAGTTTTGTCCTCCCATTATGCCTGAGTTTCTTGATATGTATGTTTGGTCTGGTCGTGACAGTCTGGGGCTGTCCCCTCGACTGCACATCAGTCCTGACATAAGATTTTGACTAGGTATTGGCGCCTGCCTGGGGTTATCCCCTCGGCTCATTGAGCGCTCTAGAAGTTGTGTGCAAGTTTCAGTCATTTCCGAGAATAGCCGTACCTGTTCTCGCATCATTTCAGATTGATTCTCCATTGCTTCATCCTGCCTGCGTAGTAAGGCATTGGTCATTTCTCTGACATGAATTGAGAGCCCCCCTAATTCTGATTCAACCCTCTCTAGTACAGCAATGGTCTTTTCTTCCACCAATGGCATTGATGTGTTATGGTCTTCATGCAATTCTCCCATGATACCAGTCTTCTGTGCTGTTGTTTCCTCCTGACTAGCCTCGTTTTTTGACATCTTTACAAGTTGAGCAACTTCTGTGGGTCCACTGAAACTGTTAACACGTCAGGTGTAGGGTCACTCCAACACTCTTTAACGATGTCTAATTCTAGTCGTCGTATCCACTTCCTTGATAATAAATGATCTGGATGTATACCGTCCTTCAGGAGATGTAAATTAATGGATTGTCTACCTTTACCCCTGACCTTCACAATATCCAAGTGAAACTGGAGAGTATTCCTGCCTAATGTGTCGTTCAATTCACAAATACTGCGATTGAGTAGCGTTACCTCCTCTTTGATTTGATTATCAGTACTTTGGAAAGATTCAGGATGTCTATGACCAAGATGGGAGTTGTATGCCTTAGCTGAGTATACAGGAATGGTAATGAACTTCAATGACCCTTGTTTCAAAGTCACAAACTTTATGAGTCTTTGAAATTGTTCTAATATGTGAGCAGTTGCTGAACCTACTTTATTGTAACGCAGTTCTATGTGCTTATGTCTGTAATGTCCAACTTTCTGTGTAATGTCACACACTCCCAATAGTACGTAAACAACAAGTGGTCTAGTTTCCTGGAATAGTTTTTCAAGTTCCGGAATTGCCTTGTCGATAGCACTTGCAGTCGTTGCCCCTGGGTACGTAAGAAACTGCAGTGGAATTCCTGAAGAATTTCTGTTTCTTCTCAATGTATCTCCAAGGCTGTCTGAAATGAGTACTGGTAGCTTTTCACAGGAACTTGACGGCACTTTAAGTGGATTTTTTTCCAAAAAATTTGTTATGTTTTTTGAGCTCATCAAAGTGAAGATAATATATATATGACTTATAAAGAATACTGTTATAGCAATTTTTATTTTTAAGTTTTTTTTTAAAGTTTTTTTTCAACCAGTGACTGTGAAAAATAAACAGAATGCGGATTCACACAATTCTGATATTTAATAACAACTTATAAATCAGATTGGCCTCACCCAGTACGATGCACGCGTGTCCGACAGAGAACGGGTTCACACTTCTCTGTAACGCAAGCACGTGGACTGGCTCAGCACGGAGAAACAGCGTTTTCTCCAAACAATAAAAGGATACACAAAATATATGATATTACTAAACACTTCTGACACCAATGTGGTGCTTTGGCAATGGTGTGGGTCCTAGTTTGGCACCACGTGGCTCCAAAAACCCGGGAGCTTCAGAGTTTAATTTTAGAACAACATAATGTAATAACTGAGACGCCGAACCCGACGCAAATACACAATTGCACTACAATACCACCCGTTTCCGACGCTCTTCAGTTGACCTTGTTAAGATGCTTGTAATTATACACGGTATAATATATACCTGTTGCAAAGCATGTCAATTGAAGGTGATAAATCAAGCAATGGTAGTAAAACGTTGCAAGATTACAGGAGGCATGTTGAGCAACAGTCTCGTGGTCGCAAAATACACGCAAAGACAGCTGCGATTCATCTTGAAATCCTTAAAAATCGTGCATCAGTCTTATGAGTACATAAAACGTTGTAAAACGTTCGTACAAATATTCGTGCGTTGAATTGCGATAATTTGGATCGCATTTGGTCGCGTCTGAATAGTGCATAGGCGTCGGAACCGGGGGGGGCTAGGGGGGGCTTAGCCCCCCCCCCCCCCACTTTTTTTCCCAATATATACTTAGTATAGACATTGAACACATCTTCGTAAGTTTAGCCCCCCCCCCCCACTTTCCATAGATATAGTATAGTATAGGTTAAAATTGGTAAAAGTGTTGATGATTGGAAGAAAATTTTTTGTTACTGGACTTCGAACCTTGCCCCCCCCCCCCCCCACGAAATAGGCCTTTCGAGTTTGGGGTACATTCCATTTTTTTTTTTTTTTTTTTTTTTTTTGCTTGTCAGGTTTTTTTGGTGGACCAAAAAATTTTTTCTGACACTTAGCCCCCCCACTTTCAATTTGCTTCCGACGCCAATGTAGTGTGCATGTTGACTATATTGAGGAGACCTGATGCGACCACTAAAACACATGCAATGAATGCGAGACATCGTGCAACGTATGCGATAGCTCGTGCAAAGCTAAAATTTTCCAATCGCAAAGTCTTGTAAAGTACCCGTGCGCCAATTGTGAAAGGGCCTTTAAGAAGACTGTTTTAGTAACCAGTACTTTTGTTTTATTTTCTTGATCATCTCCCCTTGTTTAAGGGTCCAAATCGTACTTTTATTGTAAATTTATTTTAGTATTTATAAATGGTAGTCCTTGGGTCAAGGATGCCCTGTGACAAATTTTACAATGATTGGACAAGGGGTTCTTGAGTTATGACCTATATTCTAAAAGGTTTACGTGCACTACACGACGCACACTGCACAAATGGCCATAGCATTAGCCCTTTGAGCCTTTGGCTCAGAAGAGCCAAAAATTGGTTTAGAACTGAAAAGTTTAAATACATTTATAAGTTGTCCTGACCTTCCCCTGACAGCGAAAGAGAGGAGAGGGTGTAACTGAACAAAATTGAAACTACACTAACTAAGGATGCTTAAGCATTTTTTGATTAATTATGACTTTTCCCTACAAGTATGAACTTTCATCGAGGCCTAACCCTACCCCTGAATGTACATTATCTGAGGATACTTCCATATACATGTATATACGACCATGGCTTTGCTGTTCTTGAGAAGAAGATTTTTGTTTTAAAAATCCCTAGATATTTCTATGCAAACTGTGATTGTCCATTGTGGCCCCTCCCTACCTCCGAGTGTTATGATTTGATCAAACATTAATCTACACCCTCTGCAGATGCTTTCATATAAATATGACCAATAATACACTTTCTGTTCTTGAGAAGAAGATTTTAGAGCATTTTTCCTTTTCGCAAATTACAAGTATGTTATCGAGTTTAACCAAAGCTAACCATTTTCAAACATCTTTTTTATAAGTTTTTTGAAATCAGAGCTGTTGATAAGAGTTGGTGACTTGAACAGTAAAGTAACAGATTCATATGAGGGGACATTTGAAATCGAAGAAATTTACATCCAACCGGAATACATAATATACGATGGTAAGATTTTATATAGATATGTATGTGTATCTTCGTATGTATGAAATGGAAAATGATTGAACCTTCATTGTAAAAAAAAACGATGCATTTCTGCAGATGGAAGTCTTCACAATGACATAGCCTTACTAAAAGTAAAACCTAAGCGTGGCCGTGGTATATCAATGGATTCTAATGCTCAGCCTGCCTGTCTACCATCAGAAAATACAGTGTACAGTGAAAACCTGGAATGTTACATATCTGGATGGGGCCTAACAGAATATGGTTTGTGATAATTTGCATTTATTTATGCAGTTTTTTGTTATTAATACAAAGTTAGTTTAATAAGTCAATCAACTGGAAAGAAAAAATAATTTTATATTTCATAATCTGAATCCTTTATATCACAATATCGCGTCAAATACCGGTATGTATCTATCATTTTAAATCTATATTTGTACAGTACAATTTGAAGTAATTTTAAAGAGATACTGTACTCGGTATTGTCTTTTTTACATCTTGGAACAGAAATTTAAATTGTTAGGAATTAACTTATCGCCTTTCCATGTCCTGCTGTCAATCACAACTAATTTTCAACCAATGAAATAATTCTGTTTATTCTGCGCGTTCAGTAAACACTTGCTCCGCCATATGCTCCGACAAACACTCGCTGTAGGATGAGTGGTCGACATTAAACAAATTGAAGAAATAAGTCCATTGTGTTTAAAAGATGCAGTTGGGAACGTGTAACACCGACGACAGGTATCCCGAAAGGGAATTATGGATGTTTCGGGACGCCGACGTTTCGGGACTTCTAAATATATATTGGCCAGGAAATGAAATAAAACTTTTTTACTTGTTTTTTATGTTTATACATGTATACTTTCTTAGTTTGATGCACAAAAAATTCGTACAAATCAGTGCACAATCTGGAGATTTTCAGACTGTCTTCGATCGTTCAAAATATGCATAAAGGGCCTATATGCGCATATGAATAAATAAACGTCATCAGTTCATTACACCTCTACATATGTGCATGTTTTACCTTCAAAATCATTGTCAAAATACGTGCACATTTATTTTAAAAGAGAACTAGACGCTTTTTGAGTTTCTAATTTCACAAAAGTTTATATTGTTGGTACGTGTCAGAAAGTTACTGCAGTTTTTTTATTTCCAGTTTTTATTGCATTTGCACGATTATGTCTTATAACACACTTTTATTTTATTTTTTTTTTAAATTAAATTTGATTTGATCTATCCATTAAAAATGATTCTATTTTATGACAAAAAAATTAACTTTTAATTACCCCCCCCCCCCTCCCACTAGTATTATTAAAAGTACTTGGACACAGATTTGAAGTTCATTTTTTCTGTATAATATCACGAATTATATATTTTAATAGCATTTCACACAAAAATTAATTAAATATCTTATTTCATTTAAAAGTTATAAAAAAATTAAAAATATTTGGTGAGTTTGATTGACACATCCTCGCACTTTTACAAATTTTAACTTTATTCTTAACCCTTCGGAAAAGTGGCAATCTTGTGTATTAATGAGAAATATTAAAACTTATCCAGAAAAACAATTTCATTCAGAGTATACATGTTAGAAAGCAAACTTTACAAGTATCGTCATTCCGTTGTGTACAAAGTATTGCCAATCGAGCACATAATTTGTGTTATGTACATGTACACAGTTTTTGTAAACAGGGCTAGAGCTCTGTTATTGTTTGGTGTTTACGATTCACCGGGTGCGTTAATTCGCCAAAGTCTGTTCACCACAACTGCACGGACTGGCAATAAATTGAGTGTTTGTTTTGCTTTCGAACATGTCTTCTCTGAATTTTCTGGATTATAGTTTTACATTTTTCATTGATACACAACAAGATTCACACTTTACCTAAGGATTAAGAATAAAGTTAAAATTTGTGAAAGTGCAAGGATTTGTCAGGAATTAGTTCGACATAATGAAGTCTATGGAACGCCATGACTGCCTTATAGCATGCAACTATGCATTTAATATTTCAATTTATCATTACGTGATGTGAACATATCTTTACGTTTTGTCCATTTTTTATGAGATGATGTAAATATATCTTGACATCATGTCAATGCTGCATTACATGGAGTAAATACATCATTTCATTATGTCAGCACTTCATAAATTAAAGTAAATTATTATATGATTGAATAATTTCCATCTCTCTGATTGGCTGAGATCCAACTATGTTAGAAAAATATTACGTTGTATTGACCTGCACGTGACGTTCCAGGTCAATACAAGGATTTATTTCCTCTACATTGATCTAAAAATAGATTGGGGAATTCCAAATTGATACAAATTGTTTTAAAAAGCTATTTAAACGAAAATGATTTGTATTTTCATGTGAACAAAACATAAGCGAATATATATTTTAGGTAAGGGTGGTAATTAAGAGGTTATGCAGGGACACCCCCCCTCCAACACTTACTGAACGTTAATTTTTTTTTTATTTTTGGCAGTCAGTTTTCCCTGATAATACTTCTTCCTTTCAAAATCTATCCTATACAAAGACTGACATTATATATTTCTTTTATGTCCTCTAAACATTGAATTAAAAAAAAATTCAAATTGATACGACCGGTAAGGTTTATTAACATTTTAATTCTACTTCTCTCTTGTATTTGGCAAGGACTTAAATGCAAAAAAAAAATAAATAGATAAATAATGAACTGTATCATATTATCAGTGAATCGTATAATAAAACAATTATTGCTGGGGTTTTTCGCTCAATACAATGATTTAGCCATCTTCGAAGTACAATATTCACCTTGCCTTTCGGGCTCGGTGAATATTGTACTCCTCAGATGGCTAAATCTATGTATTGACCTAAAAAACCAGCAATAATTGTATAATATCATTATATGAAGTGACATTGTGTTAAAACTTTATTGCATGAAATGAATTTTTCTTTACATCATTTCATTTCTTTAATATGTGAGGTCAAAACTGCATTACGTCAAGTAAATTGTGTTTTATAATTAAACTTATCATTACATGAAGTCAAAAGCCCATTTCTTTTGAGAGTGTAGATTTCTATTATATATTAAAGCATTATTACGTGATATGGATTTATCTTTATTTCACGGCGAGGGCATTATGATGTGAGGTGAACACATCTTACTTTTATGTCAGTGCTTTATTACGTGGTGTAAAAACTGTATAACATACTAGTAATATGAACATATATTTATATTATATCAATACTTCATTACATTGTGTCAAAACTCCATTCCGTGATGTGGATATATAATTACGTTATGTCAACTCTTTCTTATGTGATTTAAAAATATCTTTATATTGTGTTTAACTCTTTATCATGTTGATTCCAAAAGTTCATTACCTGATGTTAAAAAACATTTACATTATCTCAAAGCTAAAGAGTTGACATAATGTAATTGAAGGTTGACACAATGCAATAGTAGTGTGGATTAATGTCATGAAGAGTTGACATAATGTAATGGAAGGTTGACACAATGCAATAGTATAGTGTTCTGTTATAAGGCAGTGACGGCGTTCCATAGTTGTCCCAGAGAAACGCGAAAGTTTGTGTAAGTTATTAGATTTGTATAATATATATCTGACCAGATATTCAAAATCTTCATCATTCACCTACTATCTATTATTGCTAGAACGTGTTCACATTTCCACCAGAACTTAAAAGTTCTCCAGAGTGAACATTACCAAAAGGATTAATGGTACGACCATTTGATTCTGGAAAGGGGGGGGGGGCTTGCAACTTTTTTCGAGTCAGATTATTTATCTCCAAGACCATGTCGGTGGATTACGGATTATTTATTTCCAATGGCATAATATTTATTCTTCTCTTCATTGAAAAAAAGTATAACAAGCAGAAAAAAAATTAAATGAGAACACCATCGACAACTCTTATTCCGCGTTGGTGGGATGGGGAGGGGGCAGATTTTTAGCTCTACTGGTCAGAGACCAGAAGAGCTTATGCGATAGTAATGCGTCCGGCGTCCGTCCGTCTGTCTGTCTGTCTGTCTGTCTGTCCGTCTGTCTGTCCGTCTGTCTGTAAACAATTTTTCAAAACGCTACTCCTCCTACAATTTTAGTCTGATTTCAATATTACTTGGCACACAAGTAGACTACATTAAGATACATAGAATAGTGCATCGGTTTTTGATTTCGATGAACGGTGTTGCCATGGTTACTAAAAATAGAATTTTTTGTGAAATTCTTTAAAAACGCTACTCCTTCTACAGTTTTGGTCTGATTTCAATATAACTTGGCACACAAGTAGACTACACTAAGAAACATAGAATAGTGCATCGGTTTTTGATTTCGATGAACGATGTTGCCATGGTTACTAAAAATAGAATTTTCTGTGAAATTCCTTTAAAACGCTACTCCTTCTACAGTTTCGGTCTGATTTCAGTATAACTTGGCACACAAGTAGACTACACTAAGATACGTAGAATAGTGCATCGGTTTTTGATTTCGATAAACGGTGTTGCCATGGTTACTAAAAATAGAATTTTCTGTGAAATTCCTTTAAAACGCTACTCCTTCTACAGTTTTGGTCTGATTTCAATATAACTTGGCACACAAGTAGAATACACTAAGATACATAGAATAGTGCATCGGTTTCTGATTTCGATGAACGGTGTTGCCATGGTTACTATAAATAGAATTTTCTGTGAAATTCCTTAAAAACGCTACTCCTTCTACAGTTTTGGTCTGATTTCAATATAACTTGGCACACAAGTAGACTACACTAAGATACATAGAATAGTGCATCGGTTTTTGATTTCGATGAACGGTGTTGCCATGGTTACTAAAGATAGAATTTTCTGTGAAATTCTTTAAAAATGCTACTCCTTCTACAGTTTTGGTCTGATTTCAATATAACTTGGCACACATGTAGACTACACTAAGAAACATAGAATAGTGCATCGGTTTTTGATTTCGATGAACGATGTTGCCATGGTTACTAAAAATAGAATTTCCTGTGAAATTCCTTTAAAACGCCACTCCTTCTACAGATTTGGTCTGATTTCAATATAACTTGGCACACAAGTAGAATACACTAAGATACATAGAATAGTGCATCGTTTTTTGATTTCGATGAACGGTGTTGCCATGGTTACTAAAAATAGAATTTTCTGTGAAATTCCTTTAAAACGCTACTCCTTCTACAGTTTTGGTCTGATTTCAATATAACTTGGCACACAAGTAGACTACACTAAATACATAGAATATTGCATCGGTTTCTGATTTC